AAAAAAAAAAAAAAAAAAAAAATATACTGATCGAATTGAGTAACCTCCTCCTTTTTCGAAGTCGGTTAAAAATACGGAATTCAGGCGAGGATGCTCTGTGAAGTAACATTAGGATACATTTGCAACTTTAAAGTATATTAAGGCACAGAAGGAAGGTTACAAGATACAATTTTATCAAATTTACATCGTTATATGGGACTCCATAATCTCATTTACATGGATAATTATTACAATAGCATCAATACAGCCGAATTACTGCTACAGAATATTGCGAGAGTTTGCGGAACAATTAGATCAAATAGAGGATTACCACAAAATTTAAAGAACACGAAACGAAATTCGCGAGAAACGGACAAGTTTTTTTACAACTTTGGCACACAAAGAAAAACTGATTAGTAAGAACCATTTCAACGATTCACTCATGTAAACATTTTTTATATATTTAACATGATTATACATCTTTTATTTTGGACACCATATAATGAATGCAACGTGTGAGCATAACGGTATATTGATTATGTATTTCGATTAGACATCGATGCGGTTTTTTTTGGAGCGAGCGCGAAGAGTAATCGTTTGAGTTGGTTCCGAAGATGATTAAATCCTGACGTTATTTTATAACGTTTTCATTTTTCGTTTGCCTCTTACACTCAGCAGAAATGGTGAATGTGCAACATTGGTCAGGAGCAAAAACAAAACCTTAATCTGTTGCGGAATACAACAAATATATGAAAGGGGTTGAACATGCAGACCAATATACAGGGTGTCCATGCTTAACAAGGGACATTACTCAATCGACACATACCGATTTTTATGCACTTCGAGTATCATATAGAACGCAAAAAAATATTTTCATACTGAAGAGGTGAAAATAGTCTTCAAAGTAAAGGGTTGAAATCATACTTTTGGAAATATCACGGGAATTAATGAAGATAATTAGAAGTTTTTTTTTTTAATTGATGGTCTTTAAATAGGGAATTTTTGTGCTCAAGAAAATTTTAGTAAACTTTATTTAAATAATATTTTGAAAATTTACAATTTTTGTGTAAATTTTTGTACTAAATGTTGATTTATTTTTTTGCAACTTTGTGTATTTAAAGTATGGACTAAAATAGAGGATACGTGTTTTTGGAGTTAGTTTTTTGCAGCAATGTTTATTAGATATACAATATGAAATCACCTCCTGTGAAGAGGGGTAATCAACATTTTTATTAAAAATATCATTATTTTTACAATCTTTTACAATATTCTTGACTTTTTATAGCTCTTCATATGCCATTAATTGATTTCTCAATAATTATTGTAAGTGTCGCAGGTGTGAGCGTAACGCGATTCTAATCTCCGCCGCAAGGAACATAGGCTTTTATGGCCAATACTGATAAAATTAGTTTAATTTAATTCTATTTTCTTAGTTTCTTAAAAATCTCAATGTTTCTAAAAGTTCTAAATATTTTATTTGGATTGAAGACTTTACGGCTGTAAAAGTATAAACGCCTAACTACATGTTGTCACAGAAAGAAAAAGAATTGCGATAAACAACCTCTAAAGTGTAATAAAAAAATTAGAAAATAATAAAGAAATGAATATATATTGATATAATAATAATATTATAATAGAAGTAGATTATTCGTTAACACCGTGTAATAAAAAGAGAATAAAATTGCTCAAAAATATTAAAGTCAAATATGTTATAAAGCAACAGGAAGATTTTTAAAACTGTATGCATTAATATACAAAATAAGAAAAAAGAAGATAACAGTGTTACAAAAAAAAATAAGTTTTAACAAAGAAAAGGATTTAAGTTTTCATTATTCTGAATCATTATGAGTATTATTAGACAAATATAAATTTTTACAATTGTTCAATTCTAAATGTGTTGAATCTACTTGGAAAGTCGTGCAATTAACATTATTATTATTATTATGAAAATTTGAACGTATTTTACAAACCGCGTTTAAACATGCAATATCCAACCGATTTCTCTTTTTATTCTTCACGTTTGTAACGATGGAAAATATTCTCTCTGCTTCGACATATAGAATGCGGAAGAAACAAAACTGTATATACTAAATTCTGTCAATTTGGAAAAAATCACCATTAATATTTTTTTTCCGAAATATTATTCCACGTATTATCAATTTCTAATTTAGCCAAAAGAATTTTTTCCGCGTCACTAAATACTTAAGGCAACATTCTCCACTCATATGCTAAAGCCGTGACATCACAAGTTTGAAAGAATGTTGCTAAATATTGTAGGTCCAGGAAGATAAACCTACTTTTCCCGAGTAAAGCTATATTAGGATCCAAAAATTGAAACTCGGGAAAATCTTTATCATTATAAGGTAATCTATTTATCATTTCTTATAACGCGGTTCTGTAAAATGATAAACACATTGAAGTAATTTCTTTAATAAATTCGGAAGATTATAATTTTATAAACGATTGCCATAGCGGATCAAGACATTAATTGTATGTATACTAATATCTTAAATTACGTGCGGTCGTAAAAAATTAGCCATCTGCTTTATTAAAAGCTCAGTAGTTTCAGCAAATATCTTAAAAACAGCAAATCTGCTTTTATGTTATTATCATTTAAAATCTTAAAAATTGTTGTTGCGGAATTGCTGGGACTTTCAAAAAGTTGCAAATGAAAGTAAGATATTAAGATTTTCCAATTATCGAGAAGTCTAACAAGACATTTTTACAAAGCAAGCCATCTGGTGTTTGATAATTAAAAAATTTTTCGCGTTTCTACGTTACAAAATCTCTGAAATTCGCACAGGATAACTGACCGTTTTGCACTAGAAAAATATTTTCCTAGAAAAATATGCTGCAACAGCGTGTAAAAGATTTTCACATGACCACGCAAGCTTAATTCTAAATAATAATTTCGTATTTTCCAGAAAACCTTATTTCCTGCGATTTCTTGGCAAACCATCCTTGTAATAATAAATAATGGCTACAAGTATAGTTTATTAAAAGGAAAAAGATGTTACTTGATAAAAGTACAAAATAGTAATATAAAACAGGAAAATTATATTACATATACAATATATATATTTCACTTATATATTTCGCTTCTCAATATTGCTATTCATCTTGTGCAGTGTAACGGAAGTTATGACTGAAACTGCCCCATGGATGCGAACCACCAGTTCATCCCGACAGGTAACCGACTGTCGATACACCTCATTCTGAAAAATTTATATGACATTTAATTTTGCTTAAAATACTATGAAATTAATTTTTTTCTTAAGAAAATTTTGTATTTTACCTTCAAGAACCCCCAAAAGAAAAAATCCAGCGGGTTCATATCTGATGACATGGGGGACCACGCGACAGGGCCGCCACTCCCACCCACCTGTCCTGAAAGGTGTGATCTAGGCAAGCCTGAACACTTGCGGCATAATGGGCTGTAGTACCATCATGTTGGAGAAATATGTTCTGTCGAATTTCTAGTGGAATTTCTTCCAAAAGAGTCGGTATAACATGCTCCAAGTACATTTTATATGTTAATCCGACCAATCTGTCGGGCAAAATGTGTAGACCAACAATAAAATCCCCACAAATGCCGGCCCAAAGATTCGCGGACCAGTACTCTTGCATTGCCCGTGGACGGATCGCATGCAGATTCTCATCGTTCCACAAATGCAAATTATGGGCATTAAAGCATCCTTCTCTAGTGAAAAGGGCTTCATCTGTCCACAAAACGTATTGGAAGAAAGATGGATTCCGCTCGTTCTTTCCCACAAGCCACCTAGCATAGCGAACGAATGTAATCTTCTGGGTTCCTGAACTGCCCCATGGATGCGAACCACCAGTTCATCCCGACAGGTAACCGACTGTCGATACACCTCATTCTGAAAAATTTATATGACATTTAATTTTGCTTAAAATACTATGAAATTAATTTTTTTCTTAAGAAAATTTTGTATTTTACCTTCAAGAACCCCCAAAAGAAAAAATCCAGCGGGTTCATATCTGATGACATGGGGGACCACGCGACAGGGCCGCCACTCCCACCCACCTGTCCTGAAAGGTGTGATCTAGGCAAGCCTGAACACTTGCGGCATAATGGGCTGTAGTACCATCATGTTGGAGAAATATGTTCTGTCGAATTTCTAGTGGAATTTCTTCCAAAAGAGTCGGTATAACATGCTCCAAGTACATTTTATATGTTAATCCGACCAATCTGTCGGGCAAAATGTGTAGACCAACAATAAAATCCCCACAAATGCCGGCCCAAAGATTCACGCACCAGCGCTCTTGCATTGCTCGTGGACGGATCGCATGTGAATTCTCATCGTTCCACAAATGCGAATTATGGGCATTAAAGCATCCTTCTCTAGTGAAAAGGGCTTCATCTGTCCACAAAACGTATTGGAAGAAAGATGGATTCCGCTCGTTCTTTCCCACAAGCCACCTAGCATAGCGAACGAATGTAATCTTCTGGGTTCCTGAACATACATGTATTTGTACGGGTGCAGCGTATTTTCTTGTAGAATGCGATGAACCGACGACTTACTGATCCTAAAATAAAACACAAAACTACATTATTATAAAAAAATTAAAGTGATAGTTAAATAAAAAATAATAGATAAATAAGATGTTATCATCTGTTGCATAAATATTTATAATAATTAATTTAACTTACCCCAAACGGTGACGTATACTAAGGATCCCATCCCGGTCAAATTGTTCGAGGACTTCATTTGCCCGTGCCGTGGAGATCTGACACGAGCAAACTGCACCTTCTAGAGCAGTCTGGAATGAGCAACTCGAATATAACCGTGCAGCTAATCGTCTAAAGGAATTAGCCGACGGTAAATTTTGACCGGGATGCTCCTCTGCATACTGCCGGGCAGCTTCTTCCGCATTCCCATTACACTACGCGAAGGTGAAAAACATGTTGTAACATTGCGCGTTTGAATACATTTTCGTACGAGGGCACTTGTTGACTCGTATGTTAAAGTCCGAAAACGGTTGACTTTAGATTGGAGTTCAGAAACAAATGGCTGTTGCATAAATATTTATAATAATCAATTTAACTTACCCCAAACGATGACGTATACTAAGGATCCCATCCCGGTCAAATTGTTCGAGGACTTCATTTGCCCGTGCCGTGGAGATCTGACACGAGCAAACTGCACCTTCTAGAGCAGTCTGGAATGAGCAACTCGAATATAACCGTGCAGCTAATCGTCTAAAGGAATTAGCCGACGGTAAATTTTGACCGGGATGCTCCTCTGCATACTGCCGGGCAGCTTCTTCCGCATTCCCATTATATTACGCGAAGGTGAAAAACATGTCGTAATATTGCGCGTTTGAATACATTTTCGTATGAGTTGACTCGTATATTAAAGTCCGAAAACGGTTGACTTTAGATTGGAGTTCCGAAACAAATGACCTGTTTGTTAATTCTTAAGTCCAAAACGAATGACTTTGTAACTAAGAACTAGTTGAAACACAGGTCGATTAGTTAAAACGGTTGACCTATGTTTTAACTCTTTCACGTTCGACAGGATTGACGTTAATATTAACTCTGACGATATGTTTCGTCTTCGCTTCCTCGAAACGTCGGAAGTGCAAGGAGGCATGCTGATTGATTCTCATTAAAAACGTTGATTTTCCATCCAGCATACTCTTTGACTTGGGTCCACCCTCTCTTGCGCCCTGAGCGCACCTTTTTTGGAGGAGGGTGGAAAAAATACTGATGAGTAAGGGAGGATCTCAAAGGTCGGCAACGCCGGTGTTTTTCCTTTCAGGTGACACGCACATTGTCCTAAAATGTACCGCTAGGAAAGAACCGAGGCCCGACCTCGATGACCCTTCGCGGAAACCCCCATTTATGATAGAGTAATTATTGAAGACGAAATGAAAGTTAGAAATTCTAAAGGTATTGTTCGAAAAAAATGGTAAACTAAATTGCTGGCGATGGCTAAAATTTGTCTTTCAAAAATAATTGTTAGACTTGGACCCATCATAAACTACCTACGAAATCCTCGCGTATTGTATTCCGTCGCACGTTCGGATCAGCACTTTATAAATGATTCTATTAATTTATGTACATATGTTGCTAAACCAATGTATCTTTCGTTTTTGTCGTATGCTTGTAGGTGGGAGGGAGGTGTAGCATGCCTGTCGAAAGGCTCGAATGTAGTTATAAATCACGCGCGTACATTGTCTGCTTTTACGTACATTAAACTTTAGGTCTCCTTTTTCATTACATAGTATTGTCAGTTCTTTTTTGAATTGTTATTAATAACACATCGAATTTGTACCCGTATCGCTCGATTTCGGGGATAATATTATATAGCGAAGATTACAAAATTCGGAAACAAATAAAATTTGTGAGGGAGTGTTATTCAATATAGAGAATAATCGTTTAAACAAATTCATGTGTAGGGTTAACAAAAAAAGAAATATTGTATATTTATTGAAGAGAGTGTAATAATTAGAAAAATCAGCTCCTTTTGAAGCCATCATACCAAACAGTTTTAACATATTTATCGCCATACCACCTGTATTCGGATAATATCATATATTTATTTCAGTTAACCAATAATGTCATAAAGAACAATTTTAATTATATAATGATAAATGGTATTATTAAACACTATAAGTTATATGTATAAAAAAATAATTGAATATTGTCAGAGTAATCGAATATCTTTGTTGAGAATAAAATTACAATTAATTACCATTTTTAACAACTTTCATGCGTGTTTATAAATTTGTCGCTCAAGGCGTTAAAGCGAAAAGTGAAAGTAATCGTGTCGAGAGTTCATTGATTCCATGTTTTCCATGTTAACAGTTGATTGACATCAGCTATCGAATGGTTGGAAATAATTCCAATCGGTAAAATGATCCAGTCTCTTCTAAGCAGGATAATTTGTGGCTCAATGGGTCACATTTAAATTCTTTTATCTTTTATTGCTTTCGCATAACGAATAATATTCTAGTCGATGGTATATTTCAGAGTTGAGTGACCGTTAAAAGAAAAGAAAATCGGGCAACGACGTCGCCGCCCGACGACTTCCAACAATCGTGAGAGTCGTCGTTCATCCTTAGCGTCGTATGGTAGCGAGTAGATGCGATTTATGTGTTAAAGAAATAAATTTTTTTATGGTTCCAATTAATTAGTGTTTTCTTCAGTTTTTCTTTATATGTACTCGGACCCTGACCTATTACACCTGTAAGTCAAAGTGTAGGGTTACGCTCGAATCTGGGTTGATTTGGTGTTAAAACCGATGCCATAATAAATCATAGTCATATGTGGAATTTTATAATTAGGGTTGCGTTATATCAATTTACAATTAGGAGCCGTAGCCAAAACCGTGATTGAGATTTACGTCTGCATCAAGATTTAAGTAGAACCAATTAGTACCAAAATCAGAGCATAATCGAAGTCAAAATCAGAATCATCGTTAAATTAAGGTTAAAATCATATTCAGACTCAATGTTAAAATTTAAATTTAATTTTAGAATCAGGATCATAATTAGGAATTTTAAATCCTGAAAATTTAAGACTTGAAAACCTTCAAGAATTCAGAGTTTAAGTTTTGAAGACGTTAGGCCAATAGAATTAAAACAAGAATCGGCATTGGAGTCAGAATCAAACATATTTAGGATCAAAATTTGAGTTAAAATCAAATGAGGTGCAGAATCAAGACAAATCAGAATTAGGTCAAATCGAAATTAAGTTTGGGGTTAAAGTCAGAGTCACGATCAAAGATGTACATTTAGAATTTATGAATTGAAGTTTGTAAAAATTAAAAAAATTAAAAATTTACGATTTACACTAAAAGGGACTTGAATTTAGGGTTAAACCAGGGTAGACATTGAAGTTAAGATCGAAGTAAGATTAGGATTGAGATCAAGGTCAGAACTATAGTTAGCATTTAGGTCAGAGTCATCATCCAGCCAAAGTCAGCTTGGAATCAGATTTGAAATTGGTGTCAGAATCACAGTCAGAATTTGAAATTTCAAATTTTAGGTTTTGCGAGGTTTTCGAGAAATTAAAAATTTAAATTAAAGGAATTTTCAAATTTAGGATTAAAATCAGGAGAATCAAAGTAAGATTCGGATCAGACTCAAAGTCGGAGCTGCAGTTAAAACTTAGGTCAAAGTCAAAATCAAGGTCAAAGTCAGTATCGGGGTCAAAAACCATGATCAGAATCAAGTGTTAATTGAGAGTCAGATGTAAATCGTAATACTATCAGCTTCAGAACCGCCGTCAAAATCAAATGTTAGTTCAGAATTGATGTTGCGTCACAGTGTTAGAGTTAGAGCATACTCAAGATCCGAATTAGCTTCAAAGTTAAGTCAAAGTCAAACTCCAAACAAAGTCATGATCAAAATCAGATCAAAATTAAGGTCAAGACTGTAGTCAGGTTAGGGTTGTGATACAATATAAATTTCAGAATGTAATTTAGGGATGTGTATATGGCAAATAAATTACTAACAGAGTGAGTTGCGTTTTCTGTGTATCTGTATTGGGAACGCACGTCGTTATCTCTTTTAGAAACTTGCAAGATTTTTTCTGACTCTATATCTGAATCTCTTGCAATCGAGCTTCTTCTTTTAATACCTACATGGTGTTTTAGGCTAACCCCCGACAAGGTGGAGTTAACTAATTATACAGAAATCTTATGTAGTACGCTTCCTTAAAGCGGGGGTACGATTGGATGGGGATAGCGTTTGCCGGCGAAGGTGGCCACGCAGCGGAATTTCGCTGGACCTTAGGTCAGCTACGCGACCAGCCGATGGTTGCTTGACCTCTCGATGAAGACCTTTAGGGAAACCCAGGGTTTATAACACTAAGCGTTTTACTATTGAGGCCATTAGCGAAATTCTAAATACGATCATGCTTTCACTAAAAATTCTAAAATGCCTTTCTCAAAAACAGTTCCCCTGTCGTCCATGTCATAAGTGCTAGTCGTTTGCACGTTCGATGCTATTTGCAAGTTTACAAATTTATGACTAGCCGCTACAATAAGAATTTTAGATTTGAGCAAATTTCAAGAATTTGATATTGATTCGGTAGGTGATCTGAAATTTCAATGAGAACCAAAATTGGCATTGAAACCAAAATAAGGGTCAGGATTAGAATTTTAATTGAAGTTTGGATCAGAATCAAAATCACATTACAATCAGTACTAAAAATTAAATTGTGATTTAGGCCACATTTACAATCGAAATTTTTAAATTGAAATTTTTTAGAGGGCTTGGAAAGATCTCAGAATTCTAGGTTAATTCGAGGGAAGTTTTAAAATTAGGGTTAAAACCACGATCGTCATGGAAGTCTCCCTCAAAGTAAAATACGGGAATTTGAGTTAAAATCAGGGTCAAGGACAGAGCCATTATCAAAGTCAGAAACCGGATCAGTATCAGAATCTAAGTGAGAATCGGATTTAAATCGTGATTAACGACATCAGAATCATGATCAAAATCAGAGTCGAGATTAAGGGCAACATTATAGCCGATTCATGACCAATATGTGATTCAAAAATTTAGGGATTTTAGAAATTTGGTAAAATTTTCTAAACTTTTAAATTTAATTCAAAAAATGATCTGAAATGTCAAATAAGTCGGTCTCGTCATTGACGTCAAGATCCAAAATGGGGTCAAAATTTTATTTAAATTTTGAATTAGAATTTCAGTTAATTTTAGATCAAACTCAAGGTCAAAATCACTGTCACAGTCAAACCCACGATTCTAGCTTGGGATCAAAACCAGGATCACAACCAACGTTCAAATTTCAAATTTTAGGATTTGTAAAATTTTAGAATTTGAATTTAAATTTATATTAAAGGAAGTTTCGAAATTTAGGGTTAAAACCAGGGTTGTCATGTAATTCATATTCGAAGTGAATTTCGTGTCGAAGTAATGGTCAGAGCTATGATTTGAATTTAGGACAAAATCAAAAACATGCCCAAGGTTAACATTGAAATCGGACATCAGATTGAAGATCAAAAGGTAGGTGAGAATCGGATTTAAATCGTGATTAAGTCAGCATCAGGGTCGATATCAGAATCAAAAGCCCAGCATCGATGTTACATCAAAAGACTAAGGTTGGGGCATACTCGATATCCGAATCAGTCTTAGAGTTACGTCAAGGTCGAATCCCGGCAGAGTCACGCTCAAAGTTGGAAAAGAAATTAAAGGCAAGATTATAGCCAGTTCATGACAAATATGAGATTCCAGAATTCGGGCTTTTAGAATTTTGGAAAAATTAAAACATTTATATCTGGTTTAAAAGGTGACCTGACACTTCAATTAGGCCGGGCTTGTCATTGACTTCAAGATCCAGAGCAGGGTCAAAATTCAATTAGATTTCCAATGTTGTTAAAAAATAATTTAATTTAATTCTATTTCCTAGGAACATAGGATTTTATGGCCAATACTGCTTTTATACTTTTACAGGCGTAAAGACTTCATTCTAAATAAAATATTTAGAACTTTTGGAAACATTGGGATTTTTTAAGAAACTCTGAAAATAAATTAAATTAAATTATTTTTTAACCATATTGGCCATAGAAGCCTATGTTCCTTATGGCGTTGATTATAACCGCTTCACGCTCATACCTGCGAGGCTTACAATAATTATTGAGAAATCAATTAATTCCATATGAAGAGGT